TTATTTTTAGAATTATTATATTAAGAAAGGAATTTATTTTGGAAGAGAGAATATTAAAAAGAATATTTTTTAGAATTATTGAAAAGAGTTTATTTTGGAATAAGGGATTTTTTTGAATTGTTATAATAATAAATAATTTAAAAGGAGTTATTTTTAAAAAGGGTTTATGTTGAATTAGTATATGAGAAAATAATTTAAAGGAAATTATTTTGGAAAAAAGGTTATTTTCTGAATTACATAGATATTGTTCATAATTTATGACTCTTAATTTTGATTATTTGTGATATGCCATGATATTATTGCACGTGATTAGTTACATTTATTTCTTGTTGTGAATGAGGACCGTTAGTAGTTCATGACCTTAGTGGCCTTGTACAAGACCTAGAGATATGTGTATGTTGACTTAGAAAAAAAAGAAGAGTTGGGGTGGGAAAGTCTTGATTCATGTGATCGGATGTGGCTGTTGATGTATCTTCCAAGCTCGCACCAGTGAATCCGTGTCGTCACTGGGGTTGGTTTGTTGGGTCAAAGTGAATCGGTGTCATAACTTTGGTCAGTGAATTTGTGTAGTCACCTGAGTTTTACTTGAGTTCAGACCAGACTGAAATCGGATTGCGTTTAGTCCTCTGACCGATTCATATAGCGGTATTAGATGCGTGTAGAAGATATGTAAATAGTCAGTTATCCGATAATGTGAACGTTGACTATATGTGAGATATGGACTAGTAACTTGTTATAGGATGGTTAGTTATATGACCTCGTTACTTAGACAATTATGGATTCTTATGAGATGTGGACTAGTTATATTTCTTTTCACACATAGATCGGGATTAATATTTAATTATCTATAAATTTAGACATATGGTATATACATGAGGATTTCCTTGTTTGGATTATTTTGCTCTACGTACTACGTCTCGTGTTGTAGATTTTTAAGTATTAATTCCATCTAGTTATATGACCTTGTTACTCGGATGTTTATGGATTCTTCTGATTGTTATACTCTAGCGGTAGATTGTATCTAGCTTATTAGTATTCCAACTGCATGTTTCTACTCATTATTATTGTTATTTCATTGGTCGTTCGACCATTTCTACTCTTCCTTTTGGGATCTTACTGTATGCCACACACGCTGACGTACTCCTGTTCTCTCGGGTTGTACGTCAGATCTAAAGGATGGACATGTTCAGTAGGAGCTAGAGTATTCTTAGCAAAAGTGCTTTACAGACAGAGCAGAAGAAGAAGCCGAAGCTTAGTTATTTCCTCTAGTTGTTCGATGGTCTTTGTTTACCTTTTTAGCACCTTCCATTTCCGCTTGATCGATGTATTTTTTTGTTCCTCCAGTATTTCAGTTGGATTGTTTTATATCAGGTCATGTTTGGCCCGAATATTATGTCTGGGATGATATTTTAGTTGTGATATGTATTATTTTTTCTGAGTTGTTTTTATATTCTCGCTACTGTGATCGAGGACCCGTACCTTCACTTTATATTGCTTGACGCTTAACATATTAGATTGAGTAGAAATAGTCTAGTACTTATTTCTCCTCAGTCTAATACGTCGTGGGTTTGTTCACGTTTTGATTCTCTGGTATTTTGGGAAGCGGAGCGTGACACAAAGGTTGTTCAGTAGTCATGTAGATAGGGGGAAGATAAGAGAAAGTGAAGACAGAAGATGAGGGAGGCATTACGAGTCATATGAAAGGAACAGCCGGAGTCAAAAATCCAGAGATCATTCACACCAGAGATCAAAGGGTTAGTTGTAGAACCAGCAAGACACATACCAGAGAGTTGTGCAGTAGATGTAGAGGCTCTATACTGAAGAGCATCAATTTGATGGTGAATATTAGAGAGTTGTGCAGCAGATGGAGAGGTGGTATGCTGAAGAGTCGCAATTTAGCGGCTAATATTTGTAATAGCATGAAGTGCCTCAATTCGATAACGAACATTAGAGAGTTTTGCAGCAGGTGGAGAGATGGTATGCTGAAGAGCCATAATTTGACGGCTAATATCTACAATAGCTTGAATGGTAGGGTCTAAAGTGGTAGAAGATATAGCATTGACTGGTAATCCTGGTACACTAGAGGATCAGGACTGAGGGGATCGCTGACTACGGCCAGTTCCTGAGGAATGTAACTCAGGATGAAGCTAAAACCATGTCTCAAAGTGGTGTCCCTCCTTATTGCAATAGGTATAAAAGAGATTAGATCGAGCCTGAGAAGCAAGTTCCAGTGAAGAGGCCATAATAGCAGCAATTCAAAGTTCAAGATAATAATCCTTGAACGAAACCTGAATATTTAAAGGAGAACCTGAAGGTTAAAATGTAAGAACCCGAAGGTTAAATTTGAACCCGAAGGTTATATATGACTGCTAAATCTGAGAAAAAAAAGAAGCAACCGCCGGCTAAGGTGGCCCAAAGATCGGTCGGATCTGATGCTCACGCAAGAGACTTACAATGAATTAATGTTGATGTTGATACGTTGAGACGTCGAGATGGATTGAAACAGCGATGCAGTTACTAACTGTGAAACGACAATGCCATTTGTTGGACGCCGAGAGACGGCTTGAAATGGCGATACCGTTAATTTGAGACCGAGAGACGGTCTTGAAAAAAAATGGCTATGCCATAAATTTGAGATCAATAGATGATCTTGAAACGGTAATACCATTAAAGTAGAACCTAAATATTTAAAATATAACCCCAGAGATTAAAATGGAACCTGAAGGTTAAACGAGAACGTGAAATGCATTAAAAGGCCGCAAAGTGGCAAGGCTAAAAATCTAGCAGAGGAATGCAAAAAAAAACATTAAACGACTACAAAGCAGCAATACCAAGATTTGACAAAAGAACGCAGAAGCGTTAAAATTTTTTTTATTGGAAGGGAAATAATAACCCTAGCTCTGATACCATATTAAAGTAAGAGAGAAAGAGTCTTAGGTAAATTTTCCTTGAGTTGAATATTAAGTGTGCACATATATTTATATAAGTAGAGAAGGGTGAGGTGTGTTTTAACAACCAATGTGGGACTAAAAACCAACTACTAACACTATTATCAACACTATTATTAACATCCCCATTAAGAAGTAAACGGTTCTCTACAAGATTGTACCTCTGCCAGCTCGAACTTGCCCAGTTTCAGTGGGTCGCCAACAAGCCGCAAGGGAGGGAAAAATGTTGAACCTCTCTGATTCAAGCAAACTGTTAATTTCTTTGCATCAAGCAAAACTTAGATTTTCTCAGTAGAGATAAAATTAGAAAGCTCAAAGTTATCGGATACAAGAAACCTCAAAATTCTTCAAATACAATCAAATTCTTCAAATACAATCAAATGATCCTAGTGAACTGAGAAAAGAATGCTTATGTAAATTATCGTCTACATACTTAGTTGTAAAAAACCTCTATAACTCACTAATCACAACTCCTCACTCAATAGACTCCTAAATGATATTCATTATATAATTCATATAAAAAGTTTTTTTTTTGAAATATAGAACTCGCGCATCAATGAAAACAAAAGGCCTTACCATAAGGACTTCTTTCAAGAAAGCTTTACCACGAGGACTTCCTCAAAGATAAAATTTATTCAAGAGAAATTTATTCAATTCTAAAGATGACGGACAATGCCAAATTATAAAGTATTTAAAGAAAAACCCTAAAAGAAGTTTAAAATAAAATTATTATATTACCCAACAAGAAACAATAAAATAATCAGTTGCCAAATTGAGGCTCTAAACGATCACAAATGCCCAAAAATAGCGGATCTCATGGCAAACCAATGAATCTTGCTCGTTGGCCTGTTTCGTTTGAGCTGTGCGAATTTCAGCCCATTTGGAAACTTTGATTTTTCGATCCTACATAGCTTTTTGTGCTACATCAAGAACCCATGGAATAAGCCAATATTATCAATCCACATGTAATTGTAGAAGTACTCTATGGTCAAGGATGCAAAAGGATCCTTGCTCGGTGAAAGAGTGCTTACCCGTTACTTGTATAATGTACTAGACTAAATGCACGGAGCTCAACAGGCTAAGTATGAGCATGAATCATGCATATTTTGAAAAGAGATAAAATAGTGTAACCAAATCAAGAAGAGAGGAGCGTTGGATGTAACTATAAACCATATCCTTATTGAATTCAAGCAATTACGATTGTAATTACATAATAACACAGAAAACAAAATCACAAATTCACTCTATCTCTCTATCTCCTCTTAATCATAAATTTCAAGAACATCATCGTCATCATCACCATCATCATCCTGCTCCTTCTCAAAGCAGTTGTACGACCGAATCCATCATCCATGCTTCTTCTCTAAAACCTGAAGGAAATTCATGCTAAATCTACATGCAAAATACGCAGCAGAAGTATGTATGTACAAAAATACTAAGTATGTAGAGAGCATGAAATTCACACCAGGACCATCCTAATTAAATCTAACACGATCCCTATAAAAAAAGAGAGCATCCAAGAGTTTCAAAAGCTTACTTTCGAAGCGTGATTTGAAGGTAGATCGAACAACCCCTAGCTCGTTCTCCTTGTTGTAGTAAACCTCCTTGTAGTGGATCTCCAAAACTTTAGGAAAACACGAAAAGAATTGGAGGCTTCTTGAGACACAAGGCAAGATATCCACCCGGGGTTCTTAAATCCTACTACTTCTTCTTACTCAAGATTGTTAGAGTTTAGTAAGAGGTAGAGTTCTCTTATTCTCTTATGGAAAACAACTTAGCCATTTTTTTTCATTAACCCTTTAAGAATGAAGAGAGTTCATGTATTATATATATATATATATATATATATATATATATATATATACACACACACATATATACATATATATACATATATATATATACGTATATATACATATATATGTATATACATATATCTATTCTTCTATACAAATGGGAGGATCAGAGAATTACTGTTCATGCTACAGTAATTCGCTCTCCTCCCATTTGTATAGATAGATAGATATCGGTATCAGCCCAAAATTCGAATTTCAAAATACAACCCTCTCCGACATAAATCCAGGCCCTCCCACCAGACAGCGATCTCTCCCTCTCCCACATAAATCCAGGCCCTAATCTCTCTCCCATTCCAATGCCAACCCTAGACTCGATCTCAAACGGAAACAATCTCTCCTATTCTCCAAACCTTCTCATCGCCATTTGCCTCTCAAACTCCAATTCCCTCCTGATCTCCTCCTCCATCATTCTATTCTGAGCGATCTCTCTCTCGCAAGGATCTCCTCTCTCATCCGATCCCGCCGGACCTCCTCCATCAGGACTTCTGCTCTTGACGTCATCACCGGCGGGGCGAAGCCGGAGCTCCAGATGCCGATTCCGCCCGAGATCAGGAACCAAATCAAACTTTGAAGGAAAAAAAAAATCTAAAATTAGGGTTTTTGTTGGGTACCTGGAAGAGCCTGCTCAGCCCTAAAGGATCTAAAAGAAATCAAACTAATTCTTCACCTCTTCTCATAGCACCGTCGAGCTCCAATCCTCGAGCCCTAAAAGCCTATCTCTCTCTTCCCCGCAAAAGACCTCTCCAGAGTTCTCAGGTACGCAACCCCCAATTCTTTGGTTATTTGCTCTCCAGAGTTCTCCTAGCACCGTACGAATTATATTTCCCCCCCCTTTTTCTAATTTCAGGTTTTAAAGATTTTAATCATTCCAATTAATTGGCTTATTCGTTTGCACAATTCTGTAGCATGGTTCTCAGATTATTTTTCCCTTGATCACAAACATATTCTTAAATCCATCTGAATTTGTTTACATATTACACTTTAATATAGTATTCGCCCTTGATCACAAACATATTCTTAAATCCATCTGAATTTGTTTACATATTACACTTTAATATAGTATTCAGGTATTCAACAACTACAATTTTTCTTGCCATCTGAATTTGTTTACATATTACACTTTAATATAGTATTCAGGTATTCAACAACTACAATTTTTCTTGGTTGTGCTTATTGTTTTTTGAATAGTGAAATCTTCAGTCCTGAGTAATGCCGTGATTCTAAGTTTAAGTAGTAAAATTTTCTGTCGTCTTCTTCTTTAGCTCATCAGCTGAGGTAAAGCTTATGACTTCAAGGCTGTTAAAAGGTGGACTACCCAGAGAAAGATAGGGTACGACCTTATTGAATGTGACAAAGTAAAGAAGTTGTAACCCTTTGCGCACACCACAAACAGTAAAAAAATAGGCTTTTGACTCCAAAGACCTCGAAGACAAAGACGACAAGGTATCTCTTCTCAACTCATTTTCCAATTTATTTTGAATTTCTTGGAACATAATGTAAGTATTGAAGTTTTTTATTTTCAATTGTTTTTATGCTTAATTATTTAGAATTGAGTTATTAGTAAATTTTAGGTTGAACACTCTTAGAGGTAGATTGATTGAGTAATTATATTGTTAGATTAAGTGATATTTTGTATGTTAAGGCACACAGCAACGTGTACGCCTGCAAGTAGAACTTTCTAAGATAACCCAAAGACATGAAGCAACATGTTTTTATATTTTCATATAAGAAAGACGTCAAAGACAAATAATTATCTTCCAAATTAAGAAATAATATCATAATTTATAATGTTAACAAACCAATATCATAATTATCTTCCAGATTAAATAGGCAAGACTAATATCCAACAAAATCACATATCCCGTGAAACAAACCAATAAACAATCTGATGCTTGACACTTGAGCACATTTCATGACTTCCGTAAATTGTTGATAGATACATTTGATGATCAGAATGTTCACCTTCGAATCCAAGTTGAACAATGCTATTACACCAGAAGTAAACAACAGAGATTATACAACAAAAGTACACGACTCATTTTCATCAGGTTCTTCGCCTTCTTCCTTTTCCTCTTCCTCAGCAACTTCTTCAGCATCCTCCCCATTCTCTCTGGGTTCCTCATTATCGGATCTCTGTTTCTTCCATGATTCGCTTGCCTTTGCATTTGTTGTAGACCTCTTAGACACATTCTTTTTCCTGAATTCTGAAAAACAAATGAGAACATATCAGATTAAAGGCTGCTGTCAGGCCAAGACATTCTTCTCATTTTTTTGTTTGGTAACTCAATTATCATATTAACAACTGACATGCAAATGTTTGTATTCATGGAAGACTAGGCTGGCACCAAAAGAGAATCATTGAGGCCCTTATTTTATTAAGGAGAATCCTCCTCAACCTCTCAAGTTATTTATAATCATACTTCCCAAATAACATGTACTGCAAGGATATACTTCTTTTCAGCTAAAGTCTATATCCCTTCAAACTCCTCTTGGAAATACCATGAAGATATTCGGAATGCACCAAAAGATATCATTTATTAGATAGAATCATTACACGTATTATGTATGTTTGTCATTGATTTATTCTTCCTTACATATACATATTTAATCCACCCCGAGGATCTCCACAATGGTCCTGCAAAAGTTTAAACATATACATATTATAATCTTTTAAACAAACCCTCATTCTATGTGTTCGTTGTTTAATGCATTGAGATGAATGATGAAATATGTCTGTGAGATAGTATCAGTAGTTAATATGAATATTGTTTTAAAGTTGGAGTTTAATTAGTTGCTCATATATGATTTGGATTATTTTACCCTGTTGTGGACTTCCTAAAGCAATTTATGCAGTGATCTTTTGTATGGAATTCTTTTGCTCAAGTATAAATTGTTATTGATACTTTTCAGATTTACTAAAGTCTATATCTTTGTTTGCTTATGATCATGAGCTTCAGGGGTCATTAATGCAGTAAGATGAGAATTATTGTTCACAATCTCTCAAGGATATCCCATTTATGTGATCATGTCATCTAAGAATGCGCCTTCAAGGATCAACAGGTGAACACAAATAAAAAAACCCTTAAAATTCTCATAAATTTGTTAGGATTTAAATAAATTTTTAGTTATGAAGTATGATTGAGATGCTTATGTATCTTTATTGTTTGATATATGAAGGGAAAAAAACTGATTCAGATGAGTTGACCACGATAATTGTGTTTGGGCCTCTATTTTCTTTTCATTCATGAGTATATTTTAAGTTCCATCTCCAGTCAAAAATATGTGCTCAGATCTGAATATTTCCTCTAAAGTAATGAATTATTGATATGTGCTCAGATTTGAAGATTTCCTCTGTCAAAATTTTATTCATTTTATATTAATTTCTCTTTAACATTGATAATGGATCTTTGAAAAGACACGTTAATAAAGAGATTATTATACTTAGTTGGTGATTTATGGTAGTGAATTTTAATATTTGATAATAATTTTTTTGCCAGGTCAATTATCATATTCGAAATTTTTTCTCTTAGAATCAGTTATGGGGAACTTCTATGGTTTTCAGGTGATGGAGAAGGTCGTTAAGAAGATCTCGGACTAGGAAATTTCCTCGCCTAAATAATTCAATACCCCTTTTAAACCTGCAATAGTTCTATTTCAGGTTTTACTCCTATTCCTCTTCTTTTTTCCTGGCTTTGTTTCTTTTTTTCCCCTAATGATAAATATACGATATTATAATGTTTGTCTTTGAGGCACGATATAGTTATAAGAGGTTAGTTTGCATTATTTTGTTTGCTGAAGTAAAATATGCATCAAGAGAGAACTCCTCCATAAAAATACATGATTGATTGTCACTATTACCCTAAATTAGACATTTATTGTGAAAAAGAAAGAAAATTTCCCAAATAAACCTTTATTACCCTAAATTACTCCCTCAATATTCTATTTCTCTCCTAACTCACACAAGAAAGCAACTCTCTTTATGGGGCAACCTCTTTTCTCTTTTTTGCACTTCACCCATTCTAAAGTGTTTTTAATGATAACAATATTGATTTCCTATCTAAATTTGCATTATGTTGTTCTTTGAATTTTCTATTTGAGTTCAATATTGTTCTTAGTACAATTTAATTCTAAATATTACCTCATTTTTGTTTGGGAAAGTGGAGAAATACATTACTTCTTTTGATTTCAATGGTTTTAGGAATAAATAAACAAAGGATGAAGAAATGGATTTAGAGGATGATTCATTTCATTTCATTTTCTTTGCGTCACTTGCTAATGGCCTTATTAATTTTATATTTTATTTTTGTTGTCATCTAGATTAGAATCTTGGTCCTGAGTCAAAAAATTAAGATTGCAAATGTTTGTGAGGTATGGATTTGATCCTTTTTAGCTTATATAACGTTTTCATATTAATGTATCATTTACTTGCATGTTTGAGGCAAACTCTTGCATATTGTGGTTTTGTTTTTAGTTTAGATTTTTTTTAAAAAAAGCCATTTTGTTGTTTTTTATGAACTTTTACTTAATTATGCAGTCATCTTTTCTTCTTTCTGAAAATAATGAGAAACTTTCATAGTTCAAAATATCCATGTCATTTCACATAAATAGAAACCTACAATGATGCATAATAATAATACAAAGGGACTAGAAAAAAAAAACACTACTTTACAGCAACACGCTTAACTTGAGTAAACATTGCCTTTGTTTCAAACAAGAATCAAGTATTCCTCTGGCTCATACTGATACAAAGATTAATTAGTAAACAGTTTGTGGCTCAATCTCAGCAAAAGCAAAATCAACAGACCCAGACTCAACTGGGGGCATTAAGTAAGCAGCCAAGAGCTCAGAGACCAACACAGCAATAAGAGGGACTCTCTTCAAGTTCTTCACAAGATCTTTTAGTAGTTAGTGTTAATAATTTTGCTTCTTCCATTCTTTAATATGAATGTATGATACCTTACCAAAGCTTTTGCTATATATTTGTCAATTATTAAAATATATTAACATTTTACTTTTGGTATTCTGTTTAAGATAAGGCTGATTAATGGAATCATTGATAGCTTATGGCAATGAAATCATATTTTGTATATTGCTACTGATGACAACATGTGCAAATTTCTAGGAGACAATAAGCTAATGTTGTATTGTACATTAGCTTTATCATAACTTTAAATCTTCTAGATTATATTTTTATTTTCTCTTGGCTCGATAAATTTAATAATGCATAATTCATTCTATTAATCCCCTTTCTTTCTTAGATCCTGTGATCGAAGTAGTCATATTCCTAAATGAATTGAAGGAATCGTCTTATTTGGGTGTACGGATGACACACTCAACACTCTTAAACCCTATGTAGTAGTAAACAAATTTGAAGAATTAATTCGGAAGAGATCAATCTTTATTTTTTAACCCGAAAAGATAAGGAAAGGTCAAAGCTAATTTAAGAGGGCCATTTTGTTAATGTTTTCTTTGTGATGAAATTGTCTTAGTGTTAAATATGCAATATTCGTTTTCTTTGTGATGAAATTGTCTTAGTGTTAAATATGCAATATTCATTCTTACTAAGAATTTTTCCTGTGTTCTCATATTGAGCATAAATATTTTGTAGCAGAATTATTTCATGGGTTTGAGCTTAGAGTAAAATGCAGATCTACTATACTTGGTCATAGCCGATGATGTTGTTGGCAATATTTAATGTGGGTTAAATTTAAAGTGAGAGGAAGAAGAAATTATATTGTTAACATATGGGAAAGAAATGATTTATGAATGCCAACGCAATTGAAGCCATCCTTTTGTTTTGAAATGCATTTGTGACATCTCAACTAAAGAGAACTATGGCAATCTCAATCACATTATGATTTCTTTCTCCAATTTCCTCTCGGAAGCAAGTCTTCATGTGATCAACTATTGCATTTCTTTGCTAACAGATTATTACCTGCATACTGATTTTCAGTAAAATAGTTTTTTATATTAATTTTTGTATTGTTTTATGCCTATATTTTGTATGCTTCTGTACTACCTGTTTTTGTTTTTCTATTCAGATTCCTCTGAGCTCTGTCACTTCGATTATTGATGGCTTGAAGAAACTATATATTGAAAATTTGAAGTCATTGGAAGTTACCTATCAATTTAATGATTTTGCTTCTCCTTTGCTGGTGAGTTATGCAATACATATATTCCTCTTATCATGGGCAAACATCTTATAAGTTTCATTTCATTTTAAAAATCAGTCGTTAAGCGCTTTAGGGGGTTGTAATTGGTGGTTTTTATAAGTGAATACAAGCATAACAGCATTTGGGTTAATATTCTACAGGGAAGACAACATTTATAAAGCATTTGCTAAGATCTAGCTACCCAAGTTTGTTGGATTTTCTATCTAATTAAAATTATTTCCTGCTTATTTTGAAGGATGGGCTTGCGAGAGAGGGGGATGTCATATTAATAGATATTGTCTAACTAATCAAATTTCAATATTTTATGCAGGGGCTCATATAGGACTGGAGCCCACAACCGATAGATTTATTGTGGTCATGGTAATGCTTTTAGTTTGTGTTCCTATTAGTGGTAGTCCTAATTTTTTGTCCAAGTAAGTTATACATTCAATCAGATAGATCTTTTTTGTGATTGATGAAATTATACAGATTCTTTTAATGCGATTATATTTTTTATTTTCATTACATCACAAAAATAGTAAAATTTACTTGAGAAGGATATCTAGAAGAGCATTATTTCCATATTTTATTTTGATATATTTTATTTTAGAGATTACAATAATTTTTTGGCAGAAACAGAAAATAGAAGGAGATAAATAGGACAGAGGATAGTGCACAGGAAAGGAAGTGATAAGTATAAACAAACATGGTCTATTTTTCGAAGGTATTTCCTCTTTCAAAATTGGTTGTTTTTCGAAGGCATTCGTATCTGGATTTTATAAACTGATATGTGTGCCATAATTTTATATTTTTTACCATAATTTATGTGCTAATTTAATTATGATACGAATGTTATTTCTTTTTTTTGTTGGCCATGTTTCGGTTTTTAGGCTTCATGGTTTTCTCATCAATCTAGCAACATCCTTCTCAAATCATGTTTATGTTGTTTTCTAAGTATAAGTTGAAATTAGAATGAATTGAATATTTAGCTGCCCATGGTTTCTCAAATTATGTTCATGGTTTTTTACTATTCTTGGCAAGATGTCACAATAGACATGGATGCCTATTAGCACAAGAGAATAATTTATAACAACTTTATGTACGTGTCATATGGGAAATTTGTTTATACATAAAGTTTAATATGCTTTATAATTTTAATTGTACAATAATAATATGTAATTAAAAATAAGAGGAGGGGTGTTCCAAGTGCAATGGTAGAAAAGAGGCGAGGGCCGTGCTTGGCACGGGGTACATACTAGTGTATTGTATATTACATCCATTGAGCAAATGAGAAAGAAATTGAACGCAGGATCTTTACCTTAGGGGTGGCAGTTTTTGACCCGACCCATCAACCCGACCCGACCCGACCCGTTTATATTGGGTATGAGTCAAGTTATATGGGATATATATAGAGAGAGAGAGAGAGAGAGAGAGATATGTCATGACACATCTTATGAGTCATGCCATGATTCATCAATAATAATGATTCATCTAATGAGTCATGCAATGACTCATCTCATGAGTTATGCCATGAATCATCAAATGTCAAAAATATGTGCTTAAAACCATGTTCTCAAACTATACTACTTAATGACTCATCTCATGACTCATTAATCATAGTATAATATTGTAAAACCCCGAAAATTTGAATACTTCATGATAAATAATAATAAATATGTTATACATGTATAAATAATATATTATGATGTTTGAGTATGCTAGGAACTGATTTGAGATCAATTCAATGTATATATGTATATATGTGAGTACAAATACACAAATCATGCACAAAGGCCAAGAGTGAGAATCTGGGAATTTTGACCAGTTGAGAGTTTCTATGTTTTTCTCACTGATTCATTAAGAATCTGAAAACGTGTATAATACCAAAGTTGTAGGTCTCTTCAAGATCTTTCCAACAAATCTTAGATCACCTTATTCCGAGGTCGTATGAGAAAGTTATAGCCAAAATACCGAAGAGAATGTTCCTAGTCAGACTGAATTTCCAGTTTCGGGTTTCGGGTTTCGGTTTTCGGGTTTGCTGCTATATATATACATGTTATATCACGAAAATCACCTCTTTTCTTCTGTTTTACAAACCCTAGCAGCCCCCCTCTTCTCTCCCAAACCCTAGATCCGTTCTTAGAGGATTTTGGAGGAGCCGACGCGAGATCCATCGGTGTTCAGCGAAGGAGGATCATTCTCACTTATTTTTTGGAGTTCATCTACACCCCTCAGGCGAGTATCATCTCGCCCAATCCCTCACCCCTTTTTCCTATGGTTTTATTTTGATTTCTCATGAGTTTTTGAAGAGCCCAACAGGTATTTTTGTATAAAAATGAGTTTCTTTACATTGTAGATTGCAAGAATCGATATTTCAGTTTGTGAAAGTTCACCCACGTTTTGTCCAATAAAGATCTAGATCTGAGGATTATTAAACAAGAGTTTAACAACGTTTTACTGTCATTAAAACATTTCAAATTTGTTTTTCTCATGTATTTTGAAATATTGGGAATATGGATTTCATGCTTGAGACTAGTTATTCTTCTTCCAGAAATTTAGAACACTTGATATTGTAGAATTTTTGTTAATTTTGTTTCAGGTTTCCGAGCTGACAGAAACCCAGATTTGGGTTTCTGTCCGCTCGGCGGTCGACCGACGCGGTCGACCGCTGAGCTCGTTTTGAGGTTTCGGTCGACCGC